GGACTAGCAGAATCGGTGCTTCAGCCCCGAGATGCGGAGCACAGAAGGAGCTGCAGGCCCAAGGGGACAACGTGGACAGCTACGAGCAGCGGCAGAACACAGATAATAGCAACACAGGTTCATCCGGGAAGGAAAGAACGCGATCCGGAAGGGAGCTTCTGAGAGCAGATCTGAGCCTGATATGTCAGAGCACAGGCTGTATGTAGGAGAGTCAGAGGAAGTGGTTTGGAAATTCACCACAAAGTCGTGAAGGCTTTAGCAGGTGCCATTTCTAAGGGAGAAAAAGTGACGCACCCTCCAGTGCAAAACTCTAGAAGTCTGAGCAAGTGCCATAAGATCAGGTTGTGGGGACAGGCTGAGGGGTCATGGCTGGGGGCCCCAGAGGGGCTTGTGAGCCAGGTTGGCTCTGCTTCCTGAGGGGGCATGAAGATTGGCAGAGGAGCTATGGGTGTTGAAGCCAGAGAATTTTGACGCTGAAGGGGTTCCAGGAGGGGCAACTGGCACTGTTGGGGGCGTTGCTGCTGGGGTAGCACAGCTGTGGACCTCAGGCAGGTCGGAGGCCCCGCTACTCTGGTTGCCAGGGGCTCCTAGGCCTGCACACTCGGGGTTGAAGGGTCACTCTCAGGGGTGGCTGTGGCCCTGCTTGTCTCTACGTTAATAAGCTTGCTAAGTCAAAAAGAGAGAGAGAGAGAGACCCTGGGAGATAGCAGAATCTCCCCTAAGGCCTCAGTAAATGGTGAAGCAAAGGAAAGAAGTAGCTCATAACAAGATTCTACTTAAATAGATAAGACCTAAGGATCAGAGAAAGAATGACCAGAAATAAAGTTACCATGTATTAAAGAAACAGCAGGCCTTGAACTGAAACATAAACAGGAAAACTTTAAATCAAGCATATATACAAAGATACAATGATTGTTAAAAATTAGAATCAAATTTTTTTGTCAGATGAAAACACAGAAGAATTCCTATCATGTAGGAGAGGAAATTTGCAAAACAACATCTGACCTGAATTTAAAATACTTAAGGCATTGTAGATATGGTGTGGGGGTGGGGATGGGGGATGAGCAATCACAAGAAACAAAAATGGGACAATACAAAAATGCAATAAACTAGAGGGTGATGTGTGAAGAGTAGCTTATTCACTTAGGAAAGAAATCTAAGAAGACAAACTATCTCAGAACGGAAGAGTTACATTACAGAGTGCCCCAGGAAGAACAAATACACTGAAAACACAGCAAAGGATACAGAGACTAGAAATAAAAGCCAGGAAAATAACTCAAAAACAATGAAAGATTAAAAACAAGATCAGAAAGAAAGTGATGGGGAAAACAGGCAAGGAAATTCAACAGATACATAACTGGAGTCTTTCAGAAATAAAATCAAAACAATGTAATGGAACTAAGAAAACATTTTGAAATCAAATGGATCCAAATGTGTATATTTAAAAGGTACCACATTTACCTGGGGAACTGACTCAGTACAGTCAATTCTGAGACTGGTAGAATTATTAGACATTAAAGATAAAAGAAAATTATTAGGGACTTCAAGCAGAAAGATCAAGTCACTTAACAGGGAGAAAAATCAGTATGGCATTATGTACCTGATATAAACATTTAATACAAGAAAACAGTGGAATAGCATCTACATAAGGAAAGAAATTACAGGACAGTTATCAAGGCTTTAGGAAATCAGTTTTAAACATGCCAGAACTCAGACAATATTGTTCCTATTAGCTCTTCCTGAAAAGGGATGGGGATGGAGCTGCACTGGAACAAAGTATTATACGTTATTAAAGTTAAATTGGTATAAATTCAAATTAGAGCATTAAAACCTTAAGATGTTAAACACAGTTCCTGTGGCAACCACAAAGAAAATAGCTATAGAATATATACAAAAGAAAACAAAAGAGGAATTAAAACCTACAGAAAATCAACTAAATACAAAAGAAGACAGTAATAGAAGAAATAAGAGAGAAAAAACACCTAGAAGACATACAGAAAACAAATAGCAAAATGGTAGAATTAATCCCTTCATACCAGTAATTACTTTAAATGTAAATGGATTAAACTCTCCAGTTAAAGACAGAGATTAGTAGAATGGATTTAAGAAACATAATCCAACTATATGCTATCTACCAGAGACTTATTTTCTATCTAAAGACACACTAGGTTGACAGTGAAAGAATGGAAGAAGATATTCCATGCAAATAGCCAAAAGAGAGTGGGCGTGACTATACTAATACAGACTTTAAATAAAAAACAGTTACAAGAGCCAAAGGATATTATATATGAATACAAAGTTTGATACAGCAAGAGGATATAAAAATTATAAACATATATATGTGTAGGAAACCATCAGAGTATATAAAGCAAAACAGACAGAATTGAGGGGAGAAATAGATGATTCTACAGTAATAGCTGGAGAGTTCAATACCCAACTCTCAATAATAGATAAAACAACCAGACAGAAGATAAGTAAGAGGACTTGAATAATACACAAAAAACAACTAGTTCTAACTGCAGAACATTCTACCTAACAAGAGAATACACTTTCTTCTCAAGTGCACATGGGACACTCTACAATGTAGACCATATATTTGGCCACAAATCAATTCTCAACAGATTTAAAAAAATAGATATCATACAAAGTATTTTTTCAGAGCACAAGAGGATGATGTTAGAAATCAAATACCAAAAAGAAATTGGAAAATTCAGAAATTTGTGGTAATTAAACAACACACTCTTAAACAACCATTGGGTCAAATAAGAAGTCATAAGGGAAATTAGAAAATACTTAGAGATGAATGAAAATGAAAATACACAGTAGTAGAAATATCAAAACTCATGGGATGCAGTAAAAGCAGTGCTAAGGGGGGAATTTAGAGCTGGAAATGCTTATGTTAAAAAAGAGAAAAAAGATGGCACATCAACAACCTAACTTTACACCTTAAGGAATTAGAAAAGAGGAGCGAATTAAACTCAAAGCTAGCAGGAGGAAAGAAATACTAAAGATTAGAGCAAAGATAAATGAAATGGAAAAATAGAGAAAATCAATGAAATCAAAAGTTTATTCTTCTAAACGATTAACAAAATGCACAAACCTTTAGCTAGATTGACTAAGGAGCCTATATTTGAATTTCAACAGTTTCTCCATTTGGGTCCTGTTTCTTTTCTAGCATCTAGTCCAGGGCACCACATTGCATTAACTGCCATATTTCCCTAGTGTCACCATTTCTCTGTGTTGCCTTGTTTTTCATGGTCGAGACATGTTTGAAGAATACTGGTCGGGTATTTTGTAGACTGTTCCTCAGTTAAGGTTCTGCTGAAGTTTTCTCATGATTAGATTGGAGTTACATATTTTGGGGAAGAATATCACAGAGGTGAGGTACCCTATTAGGGGTACATAATGTGAACAGGACTTGCTACTCTGCTGGGTGAAACAGTCTTATGGCAGCCCTGAAGTTTTTCTCTTTGTCTTGACAGTTTTCCCCACATTGTGGGAATGACAGACAAGGCAGTTTTTACCACACTATTAAACAACTCTGGAAGAAATAGGAGCAGAGCAATTATTTTCTAAACCCCTTTGAGGGTGAACTGCCTTTGGGTGCCCAAGCAAGATAAAGAGAGATACTCAGTGACTGGGCAGGGCACAGGCAAAAATACTCTGGGTGCAAGAGAGACCTTCATGATAAGAGAAAGGCAGGATCACGATAGAGAAAAAACCATGGGAAACTAACAAACAAAAAACTGGTCAGTTCACACTGGTGAAAGCAAAGGTGAATGAGAATGAGAAATGGCTTCAGCCTTGCCAATGCTAATCAGTGGCAATGTTTATTACATCCCCTTAGATGGCCCCTCCTTTCTCTACTCACACAGGGGAAAAAAGCAGCAGTTAGAAGTACTACACTAATTCCCTATCCACAGGACTAGACCTCCAGGCACAACCTCCAGTGAAAAAAGGCAAATTCCAGGATAAATGCTGAATAATGCTGTTTATATGAATTTAAATGGACATAAAAACACTATACTTTGCCATATGGGGGCAGTGAGAGAAAGCAGATCAGCGGTTGTACTGGGATGCGGGGTGACAGTGAGAAAACAGTCTGGGTTATAACCTTATTCCACAATAGCAGCCCCCTCTGGGTGGGTTGAGACCAAGGCAGCCTGCGATGCCAACACACACAGGCCTTCCGCAGCTCCTGCAGACCCTCTCGCCTCCCCTCTCCGCCCGCCCAGGGTCCCAGGGGAAGGTGCTAGGGTGGCCTGCATTAAGTCTTTTAGAGACCTGAGGCTGACGGCGGGGGCGCGGGTGGAGGTGGGGACCCTCAGGCAGGACTTTCCAGGAATCACTGAAGGTCCAAGGCTTGCTGCTGATGCAAGGGCCATAGGCGGTGGGGCCCAGTGGAGACCTAGAGCTTTGTGGGAAGAGGGTAAGAAGTAACCCATGTGACCCCAGGCGTATGTTACCCTGCTAGTGTGAAGCAGTCTCTGGGATTGAATGGGGCAGGGGAAGGGAGATGGGCATCAAAAAATGCCATTACCTTTTCTAGGTAACCTGATTGAATCTAGAAGTTCGCCCTGGAAGCAATTTGTATTAAATTTACAGCAAAGAAATGAAATATGCCGAACTGAATGGCTGATTGGATCTCGGGTCGAGGCCTCGTGTGTACTTAAGCAGTCAGGCTACCAGGGCAAAGCCATTTGTGTTCAAATCCGGAATCTGCGGCTGACTCGCTTTGTGACCGCCAATGAATTACTTCACCTCTCTTGTTTCCGCATCGTATGATCACATATATAAAATCCACCTCACAGGATGGTGGTGAGGAGAATTGGGCTACTTAATGTAAATTCTGCCCCACGGGATAGGGACACTGGGGAAATGACCATAATAAATAACTTTGGGAGGCGCCTTACGCTGACTCCATCAGTCTCGGTGTGCGGAGAAGTCGAGACCACGCAAATGGGAGGACGGCGCCCTGGGCTCCGCCCCGGAGGGCGTGGCGACACGCGGCGTCTGCGCTCCGCAGTTCAGTGGCCGCTGCCCTTACCTCGCACTACGGCAGACCCCATTCCTGCGCTGGATCGTCTTATGGTGAGTTCACCTTTGAACGCAGGGGCAAATTCCAGGTTCTGGGGTTGGCGGCCAGAAATTCCCAGGTGGGCAGTCGAGAATTCTAGCGAGAGGTTCACTCATGGGAGACAGGGACCAAAACATCCGAAATGGTTCAGTGCTTCAGGACACCCCCACCGCCCCGAGTGACTGCCGTGCCCACGGGGTGCCGTCCTCAAGACTGACGCGGGCCTTCAGAGGAAACTGCAGGTGGGGATGGTCCTGCTGGCTGCCGTCCTTGAAGGCTCCTCCAGTACCACCGCGTGGTACTAGGCCGCTACCAGCGCCTGCGGAGCTATAGAAGGATGCGCAGATCGCGAGGCCGCTGAGGCACAGGGGCCTGGGAGGACTGGGTCAATCATTCGAGAGAAGATGAGGTAGGCATAGGGTGTGAGTGAGAAGAGATACTTCCCTTCCTTCCTAACTTCTCTGAACATCTTTTTATTTTCCCCAGCTTTTTTGAGGTATAATTGACAGACTTGTGTATTCAGAGTGTACAGCATGATGATTTGATGTATATATACATTGTGAAATGACTACTGCAATCAAGGTCATTATCACATCCGTCAGACATCACTTGTTTTTGGTGAAAATGCTTAAGATGTACTCTCAGCAAATTTCAAATTTACAATGCACCATTATTAACTTAATCACCATCCTGTACATTAGATCCTTAAACATACTCACCTTAGAACTGCAAGTTTACAGGCTTTGACCAACGTCTCTCATTTCCGCATGGTCCCCGCACCCGCCAGCCACTAGCAACCACCATTCTACTCTCTGATTCTATGATTTTGACTTTAAAAAAAATTCCACAGTGATACATACATATGTTTCTCCTTTTTTTTAGAGCATGATGCCCTCCAGATCCATCCACTGTGTTGCAAATGACAGAATTTCCTTCTTTTTTATGGCTGAGTAATACTCCATTATGTGTATATATACACCACATTTAAAATTTTATTCATCCCATTAACAGATACTTGTGCTTTTCTATATTTTGGCTATAAGGAATAATACTGTAATGAACGTGGATTGGTGTGTAGATATCTCTTTGAGATATTAATTTCATTTATTCAGATAAATACCCATGAGTGGAATTGCTAGATCATACAGTTTTTTTATTATTTATTTTTTGAGGAACTTCCACACTGTTTTCCATAATGGCTATACCAATTTACATTCCCAAACAATAGTGTACCAGGTTCCATTATCCACATTCTCCTCCAAATTTGTTATCTCTTGTCTTTTTGATAATAGTTATTCCAACAGGTGTGGGGTGCTTTCTCATTATGGTTTATATTTGCACTTTCCTGATGATTAGTGTTGATCAACACCTTTTCATTTACCTGTTGGCTGTCTGTGTATCTTCTTTGGAGAAGTGTCTGTTCAGGTCCTTTGCTCATTTTAAATTGGATTGTGTTTTGCTGTTTTAAGTTGTATGAGTTTCCTTATATATTTAGATATTAACCCCTTATTAGATAGATGGTTTGCAAACATTTTCTCCCTTTCCACAGATTGCTTTTCACTTTGTTTTCTGTGCAGAAACTTTCCAATTTGATATAGTCACTTGTTTGTTTGCTTTTGTTGCTTGTGCTTTTGGTGTTTTATCCAAAAAAAAAAAATCATTGCCAAGACCAAAGGCAAGGAGCTTTTTCTGTATGCTTTCTTCTAGTTTTAAAGTTTTGGTTTCAAGTCTTAAATACAAGTCTTTAATCTATTTCAAGTTAATTTTTGTGAGATGTAAGATAGGGATCCAGTTCCATTTTTTTGTATGAGAATATCCAGTTTTTCCAACACCCTTTATGAAAGAGATTATTCTTTTTCTGTTGTGTGTTCTTGGCACCCTTGTCAAAGATTAGTTGACCTATATGTGTGGATTTATTTTTGGGCACTTGATTTAGTTCCGTTGGTCCTTGTGTCTGTTTTTATTCCAGTACCATACCACTTTGCTTACTATAGTCTTATCATGTAGTTTAAAGTCAGGAAATGCGATGCCTCCAGTTTTGTTCTTCTTTCTCAAGATTGCTTTTTAATTTTGGGTCTTTTGTTGTTTGATCTGACTGTCAGGATTATGTTTTCTATTTTTGTGAAAAATACCATTGAAGTTTTGATCTATAGGTCACTGGGTAGTGTGGATGGAAATTATATTGATTCATTGAATCCAAGAACAAGGGATATCTTTCCATCTGTTTTTGTCTTTAATTTTTCACCAGTATCTTACAGTTTTCATTGTACAGGTCTTTCATCTCCTTGCTTAAATTTACTCCTAAGTGTTTTACTGTGTTTGATGCTGCTGTAACTGGGATTGTTTCCTTAATTTCTCTTCCAGATAGTTCATTGTTACAAAAATGCAACTAACTTTTGTATGTTGATTTCATATCCTGCAACTTTGCTGAGTTAATTTATATCAAGAGTGTTTTTGTGGAATCTTTAGGATTTTCTATACATAAGATCCTGCCATCTACAGAGACAATTTTACTTCATTTCTGATTTGGATGCTGCTTATTTCTTTTTCTTGCCTATCCGCTCTGGCTGACTTCTAGTACTATGTTGATATAAGTGGTGACAATGGGTACTCTTGGCTTGCTCTTGATGTGAGAGAGAAAGCTTTCAGTTTTCATCATTGAGTATGTTAGCTGTCAGTTATATATATGGCCTTTATTATGTTGAGATACATTCCTTCTACCCTTAATTTGTTGAGAGTTTTTATCATGAAAAGGTGTTGAATTTTGTCAAATGCTTTGCCTACAACTATTGAAATGGTCATATGATTTTTATCCTTCATTTCTTGATTGTCACATTTATTGATTTGTGTATGTTGAACCATCCCTTCAACTCAGGGATAAATTCCACTTGATGATGATATATGTTCTTTCTAATGTGCTGTTTAGTTCAGTTTGCTTGTTTTTTGTTGAGGATTTTTACATCTATGCTATCATCAGGAATATTGGGCCTTAGCTTTCTTTTCTTATAGTGTCCTTATATGGCTTTAGTATCAGGATAATGCTGGACTCATAAAATAACTTTGGAAGTGTCCCTTCCTCTTAAGTTTTTTTGGAAGAATTTCAGAGGGGTTGGTATTAATTCTTCTTTAAATGTTTGGTAGAACTCACCAGTAAAGTCATCTTGTCTTGAGCTTTCCTTTGACTTTTGATTACTGATTCAATCTCTTTACTAGTTGTAGATTTATTGTAATTTTCTATTTCTTCATGGTTCAGTACTGGTAGGTTGTATATTTCTATGAATTTATCCATTTCTTCTAGGTTATCCAGTTTGTTGGCATATTGTTCATAGTAGTCTCTTACAACCTTCGTATTTCTGCACTATCAATTGTACTGTTTCCTCTTTCATACTTGATTTTATTTATTTGAGTGTTCCTTTTTCATAGCTAGTTTAGATAAGGTTCGTCAATTTTGCTTGTCTTTTCAAAAAACCAGCTTAGTTTTACTCATCTTATCTATTTCTGCTCCTTGTTGTTTCCTTTCTTTTGCTAACCTTTGGCTTAATTCTTTTTCTAGTTCCTTGAGATGTAAAGCTAGGTTTTTTTGTGTGAGATCTTTCTTAATGCTCTCCTAGGACTGCTTTTGCTGTACCCCATAAGTTTTAATATGTTGTGTTTCCATGTTCATTTGTCTCCAGATATTTGATTTCCCTCTTGGTTTTTTCTTTCATCCATTAATTATTCAGGACTGTTATTTAATTTCCAGATAGTGAATTTTCCAGCCTTTTTCCTGTTGAGTTCTAGTTTCGTACCATTGTGGTCAGAAAAATACTTGATATATTTGTAAGACTTGTTGTGTGTCCTAACATATGATCTATCCCGGAGAAGGTGCTGTGTGCTTTAGAAGAATTATGTTCTGATGCTGCTGAATGGAATGTTCTATATATGTCTATTAGGTCCATTTAGTCTAAAGTGTAATTCAAGCCCAATGTTTCCTTATTGATCTTCTGTCTGGATGACCTATTTTTGAAAATGAGAAATGTAGTCCCCTCCTACTGCTGCGTTGCTGTCTACTTCTAACTTCAGATCTGTTAATATCTGCTTAATATATTTAAGTACTTTTATGTTGGGTGCATATATTTACAATTGTTATTCATTCCATTACTTTCTGCCTTTGATTGGAGAATTTAATCCATTTTACATTTAAAGTAATTATTGAGTAAGGACTTATGGCATCTTCTTAATAGCTCTTTGACTATTTTATAGTTCAGTTGTTCCTTTCTTCCTGTCCTGCTGCCTTCTTTTATAGTTTGATGACTTCCCATAGTTCTATGCTTTGATTCCTTTCTCTTTCTCTTTTGTGTAACTACTATAGGTTTTTGCTTTGTGGTTACCAAAAGACTTACGTAAAACATCTTATAGCTAGAATAGTTTTATTTAACCTGATAACTTAAATCTCATACAATAACTCTATTCTTTTACAGCCCACTCCCCCTTTTTATGGTTTCGATGTCACAGTTTATATCTTTTCATGTTGTGTATCTATTAAAAATTATTATATTATCTTCCTCTGGAATTCACAGCAGTGATGTCTGTTACCCCAGGGGCAAAAGCTACTAGTGTCATCTGCAGAGCAGGCCACTTGTGTCCAAGCCTATAAACATTATGGAGTCCTCTGCTGTGAAAGCTGCAGGGAGTCCACATCAGGAGGGCCATTGAGATCCTCAGCAGCAAAAGCTGCTGGAGTCCTCCGTAGAGCAAGCCACTGGGGACAGCAACAATGCCTGCTGTGTGGCTGTGACTGATACCTCCACTCTTCTTTGTTCCTAACCATCTCCAGATGTCTCAGCCAAAACTATATTCCAGTGATCCTTTGTGGGGTTATTCGCTGGTTTTTTTTCCCCTCCATTGTGCTGCTGTAATTCTTAATTGTATCCTTGAGCCCTCCCCAGACTATTTTCATTTGTGGATTGCTATCTAATTGTTATATTGTGTGTGCAAAGGGATGAATGGTGTCTTTTATTCCACCATCTTGCTGACATAATTTCTGAAAATTCAGGACTAATTTAAGAGTTCCTAAAGCCAGAAGGGATCGATCTGTTTTCTCAAGAACCTGTGTGTTAGGGCCTGGATGCAGATTAAAGGTGCAGCAGTAGTAAGCAAAGTCCTTCACTGGGTTCCTGTTTTCTGAGGTCCCCCTAGCAGGATCTGTCAAACCTGCACAGGATGAAATAGAGTTCTGTGGATTTGAGGACCTTCTAGTCCAGTGGCCAGGGGAGCAGAGTAGATAGGAATTAAACTGTTACAAGGGTGGGAAAGGAAATACAAGAGTAAGATGTTAGTTATGAGAGGCTGACATTTAATGAGGCCATCATCTCAGAGAATCCCTAGGTTTTGATGGCTCCTCTCAATAGTGTGTCTCCACAGTGGCACTGGCCTCATGAAGGTGCCTTGAGCCCATACCTTGAAGTGACAGTAGCCCCTGCTACACAGTGGCTTTGACAATTCCATTTATTTTTGCCAGAGTCCAGCTCCCGCAGTGGGGGTGGGGGTGGGGGTGGGGGGGTGTTGCCAGAAAGGATGAGACGGAGTCAGTGCATGGAAAGACAGGACGCAGAGTCAGTTGGAGGAGGTCTCTCAACGAAGTGCAGATGACATCTTTATTTATACCATTTTGCACAAGGATATGATTATTTTTTATTTGTTCTTTTGATTAACAAGCACAGGCAAGCTTTTTTATTTCTGTTTCCTTCTAATCTATATGTGGTTAGCCAAGTGTCAGACAGGTGACCTTTTTCTGTTCCTTGACTGAAACTTTTCCTAGCAACATGTACCTGATTGTGTCTCTCATTTCTATGCAACGCAGTTTCTAAATAAGGCATGTGAGTGCAGAAGCATGCAGCATGTAGCAGTGACTATGGAGTCTATCAGCTCAGGGTGAAATACAGGTCACTCACTGCTACAGTTAGCTAGGCAGGTATCATCATCTATATTTCTAATGCAATGGGTACATTTTATCCCCTCATAGGGCACAGTAGGCAGCAAAATAAATTTCCCTATCTTATCCATATTTCTCTTTCTTCTGGGCGGATACCAAAATTTCCCTGATGTCTACTATGCAGGTCCCCATGGCCTCATCACTGTAGGGACTAAACAATCTCTTACGTGGTGAACAATGCAGGGGCACTCATATCACAAAAACTATTTCTATTTTACTCATGTATTAGGAACTATAAACAATCAAGTCAGATATGATTATTCATTTGATTTCTATACTTTATATGTGAATCCTACATAGATAGATGCAAGATAAAGACAGAAAGCGTGATTTAGTGCTGTAAGAAAGCAAATATAGATTTTCAGGTCTGTGCCTATAGACTAGGTATTAATCCAAGTTAGACAAGGGCAACAAAACATCCACGGGTGTAGCAGATTTCTCTCAAAACTGGGGGGGTGAGGTTCTAAGCCTCACCTCTGTTGGCCCCCATTTTCTCACCTGATGGCCCCCCTGCGACTGTGCCTGTCTTAGGTTGTTCCTCCCTTGAGGAATCTTACCCGTCTCTGGCTAACCAGCCATCTTCCAGGGCCATACAGGGAGATGTAAAGCTGGTGAGAGAGAAGCAATATTCTTCGAAAAGGTTAGTTTTTCACTTCTTTGCAGATTTATGCTCCGTGACTTCTATGCCCAGCACTTGTCTTGAGGTATCTTTACCACTTGGAAGAATTATGGTACTTGGTAATTTCACGTATGAGGCACGAATTCTAGTAGAGGGCTGTAATTAGGAAGGAAGAAGAAAGCTATAGAAGTAGCAGATGGAAGAAAACATGAGAAGATTGATTAAGTGTCAGACAGGGTTATTCTATTCAGTAATCTCTCATAACTCTGTTTCCTTAATTTTCCTTTATAACTCTTTATCACTAATTTCACTAGCATTGCAAACAAGGGAGGCATTCCCACTTAGGTGGAGATGGGGTAGGCAATGTTTGACTAGCTACCTGCAGGTTTTGGTATTCTATGCCAAGATCGCCATCTGGCCTCTGCATGTTCTATTCTTCAGGAGCACTGTCCTGAAAAGCTTCTGGGAAGTTTATGTTCTCCTCCTTTCCATGCTGCTTATCAGAGGTTGGCTTAGTCTTTGGCAAAAATGCAAGCAAAAGCAAAGCCAATAGTATAATGGAGAATAACAAAATCAAGGTGGGTAATAGGGGGAGCCAGCTGCAAAAGCCCTTGCTTTGCGGGGGTCTTCCTCCAGCCTGAGCTTTGCTACACAGCTTGAGTAGCATGGTTCCCGCCATATTTTCAAGCAGTTATATGTACATCGATTAAATATAAAGCCATCTGTCACTTCTATGGATTTGGTGTAGGAGAGGACTTCAGAGTACCCTCAGTTCACCACATGCAATGGCAGTCCAGTCATACACTTTGAATACTGCCTGGGGGTATTAACGTGGCTGGCTCTCTGCTCTGAGAGTCAAGATAGGGTAGGTTTTGATGATAGGGATAGGAAAGGAGATCAGATTTCATAAGACAGGACATAATTTGGCTGAGTGGGTCAAGATGAGCAAGGGACAGGACAGGGATATTGCAAAATTGAGCTGACTGTCTGGCTAGGATAGGACAGGAGCTAGAAAGAACCACACAAGAAGAAAAAGATGTGAGGTTATTTACATGGATGCTTTGGGAGATAATTATAAACTTGATACCAGATGTATAGGAAACCTAGAGGTATATGGATGGCCACTTTGAACAGAAGTATAAACCTTGGTCATGTGCACATTAGGCCTCTGCCTCTAAAACTACTTCTTTGAATGGTTCCAGGAAACTGATGCTTTCCAGGATGGTTGTCAGGAAGCTAGAAGCCCTGGGAGCACCCAGGGAAGTCCCTGGGGAAAATTTCCACAGTGGATACAGGTCTGTGACCACCCAGAGCCAGATGGGGTGCAATTCCAAGTTAGAAGACCTCTGTTTTCTCTTTTTAAAAATGGGATTAATAGTGGCTGCCATCTTCTGGGGTCATGGTGGGAATGAAATAATGTTTGAAATTTCATTTGTTTGACCAAATATCCAGTCAATGCCTGAGGAGGCAGGATATCTTTGAAAAAGTTGCTGAGGCAAGATCTCTGTAGATAATGGGGCATTCATAAATTCATCTAGATTTCTACCTCCACTGGTAGGTAGGAGTAGATAAGAACTGCATTTTTAAAATGTTACTCTGATTGTGTATTGGTGTGAGGGGCACTGGATGGAGCCAATTCCAGACCCTGGGGGGCCAATTAAGAGGCAATTGCATGAGATTTCAGGCAAGAGATGATGGTGGGCTAGACTAGGAGAGGGTCATCAGGGATGGAAAGGAAGGGTGTGTGGAATTGGGATTTGAGCTGAGTAGTTGAACTTCTTTTTTGTAGGATCCCACAACTGAAGATTTATTGTTATCAGGCAACATAAAGACATTTAATTCTACATGGATTCTTTCCTTCAGACAGTAGAGGAAATTGAAGAGCTTCTTCAGGACCTCTCTGAGACATTTAAGACAAGAACCCCAGCTGTCCCAGAGCCACAGCTCTATATGCCTCTGACTGTCCATGATGAGGATGGACAACATGAGTCACCCCAGAACGAGGTGGTGACTCCCCTGAGGCCCACAGTGATGGCTTCAGCATGTCCTAGCATCCCTGAGACAGTCCTTGTCCAGAACCAAACAGTACCCCCTGTTAAAGCCTTGACATTCCCCCTGGACTCTTAAGTAAGATTTTTTCCGTGGACCAAAAGATGACCTCCTTTGAACAGAGAAAATCAGCAGAAACATCCCTGATGACAGATGGCCATGACAACCCAAAGGCACTGTTCACTGATTGCCAAAAGATAACCACCACTGCAGACAAGATGACAATCCTCAATGAAGGCAGCCAGGTGAAGACCCTCAGCGATGACCAGACCCTCTATGGAGGCCAGATAATAACTCTTAAAGGGGTCCACATGAAGACATTCAGTGGTGACCAGACCCTCACCAAGGGCCATACAGTGACTTTCAGTGGTAACCAAACCCTAGATGGGAGCCAGCTGACAACCCCATGTGAAAAGCAGTGGAGATCCTCAGTGATAACCAGACCCACAGTGGAGGTCAGATGACCGTCAGTGGGGACTAGACCCACTACTGGGGCCAGTTGAAGATCCTATGTGATGACAAGATCCTCTGTGGAAGCCAGATGACCTTCAGTGGTGATCAGACCCTCTATGGGGGCCAGATGAAGGCCCCCAGTGCTAACCAGAATCCCCATGGAAGCCAGATGATCTTCAGTGGGGACCAGACCCCCTACTGGGGCCAGATGAAGACTCCCAGGGATGACCAGAACCCCCATGGAGGCCAAATAACCTTCTGTGGGGGCCAGATGAAGACCCCTAATTATGACCAGGCCCTCTATGGAGGCCAGGTGAAGACCTCCAGTGATGACCAGACCCTCTTTGGGGGCCAGGTGAAGGCCCCCAGTGCTAACCAGAATCCCCATGGAAGCCAGATGATCTTCAGTGGGGACCAGACCCCCTACTGGGACCAGATGAAGACTCCCAGGGATGACCAGAACCCCCATGGAGGCCAAATAACCTTCAGTGGGGGCCAGATGAAGACCCCTAATTATGACCAGGCCCTCTATGGAGGCCAGGTGAAGACCTCCAGTGATGACCAGACCCTCTTTGGGGGCCAGATGAAGGCCCCCAGTGCTAACCAGAATCCCCATGGAAGCCAGATGATCTTCAGTGGGGACCAGACCCCCTACTGGGGCCAGATGAAGACTCCCAGGGATGACCAGAACCCCCATGGAGGCCAAATAACCTTCTGTGGGGGCCAGATGAAGACCCCTAATTATGACCAGGCCCTCTATGGAGGCCAGGTGAAGACCTCCAGTGATGACCAGACCCTCTTTGGGGGCCAGGTGAAGGCCCCCAGTGCTAACCAGAATCCCCATGGAAGCCAGATGATCTTCAGTGGGGACCAGACCCCCTACTGGGGCCAGATGAAGACTCCCAGGGATGACCAGAACCCCCATGGAGGCCAAATAACCTTCAGTGGGGGCCAGATGAAGACCCCTAATTATGACCAGGCCCTCTATGGAGGCCAGGTGAAGACCTCCAGTGATGACCAGACCCTCTTTGGGGGCCAGGTGAGGGCCCCCAGTGATGATAAGACCCTTTATGGAGGCTGGATGGAGCCCACCTGTGGTGACCAGATGTCCCATGGAGGCCAGATGACCTTCAGTGGGGACCAGACCCTCTGTGGGGGCCCGCTGACAGCATACAGTGTTGACAGGACCCTCTGTGGTGGTCAGATGACCCTTAAGGGGGATTGTATGATGACCTTCTCTGATGGCCACACTCTCTATGGAGGCCATATATTGCCAGATCAATCACCATTGTTGCCATGCTCAGGAGTCCCGTACTTTCCAAGTTGCCCTTTGATCCAAGGGCAATCCATGGAAAAGCAAAAGAGTGATCTCAAAACCCAGAGATGTCAGTTCCAAAAGAAACCTGGCACTTCAAAGGCCTACACTTGCGCATACCAGGACTGTGGGATATCATATGCAAAGACTTCCCAACTCCGAATCCATGAACGCAGACACACTGGTGAGTGAGGGCAGAGGGATAGAGATGACAGGCAAGTGACTAAAGATCTGTGCCTTTACAAACCTTTAGGGTCATATGAGATTGTTGACACCTCCCTCTAAGCCTGGAACCCCAAAAGACCCCAGAAAAGTTGCCAATTTGAAAGGGGGGATACAACAGTCCTAGGGACAGACAGACCCCAGTTCAGAGACAGAACCAACCCGGCTGCAGTGTTGACTGTGCTGGAATGGTGGGATTAAGTGGGCCTTTTTTTTTTTGACCTCTTAGGAATGGTCTTGACTTGGTCCAAGACTGCCCCTCTCTCAACCTCCTATTTCCCCACTGACTTTCCTGCTGACCCCTGCTTCTCCTATTTTTTCCTTTTTTCTTTCCCTCCTTCATAGTTTTCCTCTCATCCTTCCAGCTCATGCTGCCCTCGTTGTCTTCCTCATTTACTCACTTCCTCCAGTCCCCTTTTTCTTGCTCTCCTGCAGTACCAACATACTTGAAACCTTTTTCTTCTCCATTCACTTTCAACTTCCATGTCCCCTGCTACCTTGAAGCATGACAATTCTCTTTCTCCCTCTGGTCTAGGGGAGAAGTCGTATGAATGCAATGTGAAGGGATGCACGTGGAAATTCCCCCATACAGATGAGCTCGGCAGACACAAGAGAAAGCACAGTGGAGAGCGACCCTACCTGTGCACTAAATGCAACCGGAATTTTGCACGATCTGATCACTTAAAGTAGCACCAAAGAATCCATAAATAATTTTAGCTCATGACTACAAACCCATCAGCCTATGAAGAAATGAGTACAGCTGAAGGATTCTCCCTGCTAAGCCTTTGTTTGCCCAGCCCCTAGCACTTTGCTGGCATATAGTAGGTGCTTAATATTTTTTGTAAACAAGTTAAGATTTTCATTTTTCCTAAGACATACAAGGAATACATGTATGCATTTCAATAGAATTAAAAGCACTCTTCATTCATTGTCCTCTCCAGGGGCTGCTGCTTCTGTCATGTGCTATAATCTTTCTAGATCTTGCTCTGTGCATTCACCTCTGTGTGTACATATAAAAATGTATATATGTCAACAATTGACATATATACATAGTTCAGGTATGTAAAGAATGTAGCATTCTATATCTGAGCTCACGTCTCTTTGGAGCTCCATTTTTATGGGGTTAGGGAGAGGAATACTTGACCACTTCTAGTGTAAAATGGTCTCAGATTAAATAAAACTCACTTGGATGAGTACTTAATCTGTTCAAAAGTTGAACCTGCTGTCATGGCTGTTTCTTTCCTCAGACAAAGTGTCTCTGTCCCCTCTGCCTTCTCACTATGTTGTCAAGGACATAGTGGGTGATGGCACTGGTGCAGAGGTGGTCACATGCTGGCTGCCAGGGTAAGGATCATTTGCCCTTCTATTGATCACTTACGCTGACAGATCTGCAGGTGGGGTGGCCTGTGGTCTGTTTTTCTTTTCACTGGCATGGCTTCGTAACTGTTCCTGAGGAGCAGAGGTGTCTTTCCCTCCTGACTAGATCCTTTGCCCAGCTCCTGCAGGCCCTGCGCACAGGTCTGGGTTTGATTCCCATCCAACCCCCAGCTTGTGAAACATCCCGCTGGCAAAAAGGTTTGGGTAAAGACACAGATGTGATTGATCCCACTCCTCCTTTCCAAGGGGAGCACCTTGAAAAGCCCTTTCTACCCAAAGCCCTAAAAGGGAAGCAGACCACAAATCCCCAGGACTTCAGTGGGCCCAGCAGCATTTGAGGTTCTTCTTGACCCACCCACTCTCACCTCACAGAGGGCCCAGAAGTTAGATCCCTGAGTCTCTGAGGGACTCAGACAGCATTTTGAAAATTATACCTTAATGTTATATTTGATACTATATGAAATAATGTATATAAGTTGTAAGTATAAAAAAAGGGAACATCTGTGAGAATCCATCACGCAATGCCATCAGGTGTCAAGACATTTGATTAGAGTAATGAGCCAAACTGAGAGTAACTCTAGTAATCTATCTTTTATTTCCTTACTGCTGGGGAGTAAGCAACAGGCAAAAAGAAGAGGCACCCGCCTGCCTGTGTCCCATCATTCCCCTGGAGGATGAGATGGGCCAGACAAGCATTAAGTGGCATGTTGTGCAGATGGGGGGAATCCTCTCACTGCCCCAAACTAAAGACTCCTACTTTTTATGGCTGGGGAATAGAGGGAGGGAGAGGGGAAAGGGCTAGGAGCGGAAAAGTACCGAGTCAGATGGGGAAAATGTGCCTCGGCCAGGGCTTCCAGTAAGGAGGCCTCTGCAGGGGGGCACCCAAGCTAGGAACGTGGGTATGAGTATGAGCGTGGCCAGCCTTGGACAGCAACTCCCTTCAGAAAATTGCCATACACCTGCTATGCAACAAGATTGGTGTGGAGAGGGCAGCTTCCACACAGGCAAAGTCTTATAATATGACCTATGGTTGGAACGAAGATGACATAAATAAGATTTTTTGACCTGGAACTGAACTTCTCAACTCCGGGCCTGAGCGAGAAGCATAGGCTACCCCATCCTGGACTCAAATGAGCCAGACATTGAGGTGTCAGGACCATGCTGGTGAATCATTGTGAGGGCCACGATCAAAGTCACTCCCAGTAGGATAATCAGGCTTGCCTGGAGAAGTGAATATAGCTATGGGCCCCATGGGCTAAAAAGCTGGAAAAAGATGTCCATAGCGCCTTAGGATCTACTCTAGAGAGCCAAAGGCCTTCTGTCTAAGCCTCTTAATAGACTGTTCTCTTTTGCCAAGTTCATTCCTCCAGGTTTTGGCAAATTCACAGACCTCCATCCTTGGCTGGCCAGCTGGGAGCCAGGACTATGTAGTTGGCCAACATTATGCAAGCCAAGTTGTTGGAGCTGGTGTTCCATGACTCCAAGGCTGACACAGTATCATTAATAACCTCACTGAGGGTTAAGGACAACCTTTTCTAATTGGATGACCCCAAAAGTGGGAGCAAGTGTAGACAAGAAGGCCACTGCCAGGACAGCCAAAATGGCTCTGATGGCGGATCCTGCACCCCTCTTCCAGATTTTCTGGTGTCCTCCAGAAATGGGACTGTTTACATTTAGGGAAGTGTTTTGCCCCTGCAGAATCCAGTTGTGGCAGTGTATCATGTCCACATTAATAAGTTCGTACATTTGAGTCACCAGAAAGCCCCTAATAGGCCAGTAATTGCTTCTCAAAGAGTGTGTACCTTTCAGCCAATTCCAGGAGTTTATGGATCAAAAAGCCAAACAGGGCCACTGGCCCATGGCGCTGTTCTTCTGCCATAGGCTCCAGTTGGCAAATCGAGAAGCTGCTGAGCCCTCTTAACCGAGAGGCAAATGTGGATTCATGGGGCCAAGGAAGGGTGGCTGGGGTGGCCCATTGGAGGGCCTCCACTCTAAGGTAGCAGCCTTTCTTGTAACCCAGTAGACAAATGCCATTAAGATCCCCACATGGATTATGTGAGAACACCAGTAGCCAAAGAGACCCACCAAAACTACCTCCTTTATGTTCGTCATTGGCACGAAAGGTCATGCTCCTTCCCAGATAATGCCCAGGACTTTCACTGGATACTATGTCCTTGCACCTTACCTGTGTTAATGGTATAGCTGTATTGCTACCCATGGGTCAGTAGGCTGTTCAGTCCTGGTTGGGCAGTGCCCTTGTCTGGGCCCACCAGAAGGATGCCATCAGTATGGCAAATGCTGGTGCTCCCTCCAGGTGCAGGACTTTTTCCAGGCCGTGTAGATGGTGGAGCCAGAGAATCTAGGTTGCCTTGTAGTAGGACATTAAAGGTGAATCACAGCACATTGCACATAAAGGCAAAGTGATCTTAATCATCTGAGTAGAGAGGACCTGCTAAAAAAGGCATTTTCAATATCAACTGGTGCATACCGAGTCTCCTCACCTTGGGCAATAGCCTCTGTCAGTCATGAGATCAGGTACCATCAGGGCTGTGGCACCAAGCCTCCTGTAATCAATGGTGAGTCTCCAGATACCCTAGGCCTTGAGCACAAGCCATACAGGTCTATTGAACGGAGGAATCATCTCATGGAGAACTTCAGCTGCTTTGACTGGTAAAGTGGATGGTTATTTCTTTTTTTCCTCCAAGCAGCCAACACCTTTTAGGTGCTGGTAGGTAACTGAGTAGGTTAACAGATCATCCACACGCCCCACTGAAATGCAGCGATTCTTGGCAGGGATTTGGGGCAAAGGCAGTAGGAATATAGACAGACAATATATCTGTACCCCCAGTACATTCACTAGTGGGAGCCATAGCAAAGGGCATTTGGAGGGGCCCAAAGGGACCCACTCAAAGCTGGGCTTAGGCAAGGGTCCCAGCGGTAATCTCAGACCCAGAGAGAGAGAGAGTGTTTGCCCCTCACCCAGGTGCCAGGGTTTCAGGGATCAGTTGCCTGGGCACGAGCAGCCAAAGGCCCAAGAAATGCAGTTCTCTCCCTGATCCCCATTGAAACTTGACCTTGACAAACAGAGTCTCCAGTCTCTTATGGGGACAGAGGGACCTTGGCCTGCCCCCATCTTGTTTGTTTTCGAATGCCAAAAGGTCCAGATAAGATTGGCAGTGCTCACTTCACCTCTAGGCTCACTGGGAGTCGCTGCTCATCAGGTGCCCCACAGTTGGTACTTTGTCCAGAGTTCCTTTGGCCCATCAATCTCCTTTGAGACTGTCACAAGTAACCATCTTTTGGGGAAGGCCTTTACCCAGGGTGCCCAGGAGAGGGCGCCAGATTGTTACTCTTAAGCCCCTCTTTCCCCTGATCAATCTTCTGTTTTCTTGCCAGTTGCCACTTTTTCCATGTCCAGGAATTTGTCAGTCAAGACTCGGACTGTGTCATGGACCGAATGACCAGACCTCATGAGGAAGTTTAACTGAGTCTGGTGACCAGCGTGGACAAGGCTGGAAATCTGAGCCTGGCTAGCAGTCTTACCTCCTCCTGTTCTCAATCCCTCACTGGAAAACCAAGGAATCATGAGGACAGCTTGCAGGGGAGCTACAGCCTCTGCAAACGTGGTCCAAACAAGAACCTTGTCGGAGGTGGGCCAAACGTCTCAGAGCCAAATACTGCCCACTGAGGAAGGTGTTAGATGCTGCTGCTCTTCCTCCCTTCCTTCCTCCTTAGGCAAGAGTAGCTGTGGTCAGGGTACTTCAAAAGAGGTGGTCTGTGGTAAAGCACCCCACTGGGCACCCCTATTCCTCACTAAGTTTAGGAAGATAATATTTTTCACTGTGGAAGCAAACTATCCAAGTCTCTAGAGCTCTTTGGACCACTGGACAAAGCAATCCCTAAGGACTCTACACTCTTTCACTTAAAGGCATGAGTCTCAGTAACACACTGCATCCTAGGATGGCCACTGGAATCAGGGGCCTGCTTAAAGCCAATAGTTATTGAATGTACTTAGCAGGGTCTCTGACAGTTTTTGGTGCCAACTTCCCCTGCAATCTTAAAGTTCCTTTTGTTGGATTTCCAATTTGACCCCCTGGGTGAGCCCAGCCAGACAGGTGAGAGGGAAAGACAACCAATGGTTCCCCTCAGAACTGATCCGTTCCTGTAAACGACCCCTAGCACCACCCAAGACCCATTGGCACAGCAGCAGAAGTGCCCCATGGAACCCTGAGGTTTTTTTATTCCCTTCCGAACAGCTTTGTGTTCAATAAGCCACCCGGCTCGCTCCATCAGTTTGTTGAGTTGCCAGGTTCCAAAATGGTTAATTAAGACGAAACAAACTGAAGGTAAAAATCAAGCCTTTCTTCACCTACTCTGACAGTGCAAGCAAAGGGTGAGGACGAGAGGGGCTGGCTCCACTGCTCCGCTTCTCCCCATGGAGCAGCGCAGGACCAGGGGCAGGTGAATAAGGGCAGCAAGAATGTCACCCTGCCAACATGCCCCGTAGGAAAAGCTCCTGCCTTTTTACAGACCTGGGTTATCTGAGGAGAAAGGGGAGGAAGGACCAGCAGTGGAAAAGAGCTGAGTAAGAGTGAAGGGCCTCACCAATGTCCCCAGTAAGGCAGCCTCTGAAGGAGGCAACTGGGTGGGAAAAGCAAATATGCACCTGAGCATATGTGACTCCTTGCAACTCTCTTCAGAAAACATCAGTGCCCTGGCGACATGTCTATAATAATCAAGTCCCGTGTTGGGAGAGCAGCTTCCCCATGAGGATGGCCAGGCAACTCATGGTCAGTCTGCT